ACTAACTTCTCGACGCGCGGTGCCTTAGCGCCTGCAGCAATCCACAGCGTGTCGATCATCACAACACCAGAGCGCACACCCTCTGGGTATCTGGGCCAACGCTACGTGGACCTCCTCACAGAATATGCGGACCTCTGCTCACTGGAGGCTACTACCGCAGCTCTCCCAGACCTGCTGGTACACCACACCATCCATACGACTGGCCCTCCAGTCTTCGAGTGACCTCGACGCCTGCTCGGCCCACGCCTGCAGGCAGCTAAGGAGGAAATCGGGCGACTACTCGATCAAGGCATCGTCCGGCCATCATCCAGTCAGTGGGCAAGCCCACTCTACCTTGTCGAGAAATCCGGTGGAGGTTGGAGAGTCACAGGGGACTACGAGCGCCTAAACGCCTGTACCACTCTGGACCATTACCCTCTGCCGATAATCGACGATCTACTGCAGGAGGCGACTGGTAAAGTTTTTTCGGTCATAGATTTTAGAAAGGCCTTTTACCAGATCCCAATCACCGAGGAGGACATTCCGAAGACAGCGATAGCCACACCGTTCGGACTATACGAATTCACCAGGTCCTCCATGTGTCAACGAAACGCCGCTCAATCGCTCCAGCGGACCATGGACCACGTCCTACGCGACCTACCGTTCGCCAGGTGCTACCTCGACGACATCTTCGTGGCTTCCGAGGGTCACGAGCAGCACCAGCAACACCTGCGCCTCCTCTTCGATGTTCTGCGCAAGGCGAAGTTGTGCATTAACCCGCGGAAGTGCGTTCTCGGCCAGCTTGAGGTCGACTACCTGGGCTACACCGTCTCTGCTGATGGTGTCCACCCCCCAGCCCACAAGGTCAAGGACATCCAGGACTTCCCGAAACCGGAGAACTCTTCCGAGCTCCGACGATTCCTGGGCATGGTGAACTTCTACAGGCGCTGCATGCCTGGAGTAGCCAACACCATGGTCCCACCCAACGATCTTCTGAAGGACCTACCACCAAAGAGCAAGAAGACTTCACTCGCTTGGAACCGCGACGCTGATCTCGCCTTTCAGCAGTGCAAAGACCACTTGACCAAAGCAGCCACGACGACCTTCCTCAGGCCCAACGCTCCGATCGCCCTGAGGACAGACGATTCGGACACCGCAATCGGCGCCGCCCTAGAGCAGGAGTACCCACGTGGCACCTGGAGGCCACTCAGTTTCTTTTCCAGGAAGCTGTCCAAGGCTGAGGCCAACTACAGTGCCTACGACAAGGATCTGCTAGCTATCTTCGTAGCTATCAAGACCTTCGATCAAGTCCTCGAAGTCCCTTTCACAGTCTACACGGACCACAAACCTAATTATAAGGCCTCGGCAAGACAGGCCCGACAGATTGACTACATCCTGCAGCACCAGGTGACTCTATCTCACGTCAAGGGCGAGGAGAACGTGGTGGCAGACGCGCTTGCACGGATCAACGCCGTCGCTATGCCATCCATCCTGGAGCCAGAGGTCATTGCAAAGGCCCAAGCCAATGACTCCGAACTCGGACACCTGCTCGACGACCCCCGCCTTGACCTTCAAGCCCTGAAGATCGATAGCCAACAGATTCTCTGCGACATTTCGACTGGGAACGTGAGGCCATATCTTCCAGAGACTCTTCACAGAACGGCATTTAAGGTCTTACACAACCTCTCGCACCCTGGCATTAAGTCAACCGCACGCCTAGTCTCCGAGAAGTTTACGTGGCCCAAACTACGGAAGGACGTAACTCACTGGGCTCAGCAGTGCGAGGGCCTGCCAGCGCTCGAAAGTGCACAGGCACAACCGCTCAGCCCTCGGCGACTTCAACATGCCTCATGGACGCTTCGAACACATCCACGTCGACTTAGTGAAGCTCCCACTAACCAAATGATTCCAGTACTGCCTAACCATTATAGACAGATTCACCAGGTGGCCGGTCGCCGTTCCCGTTCCCGACCAACAGGCAGCGACCGTTGCCAAGGCCCTGTACGACAGCTGGATCGCCTGCTTCGAAACGCCCTTGATTATCACATCGGACCAGGGAGCCCAGTTCGAGTCAGCGTTATTCACTGAGCTCGCCAAGATGATCGGCTCAAGTCGCATAAGGACGACGCCCTATCACCCGCAGTCAAACGGGATGGTAGAACGTTTTCATCGTTCTTTCAAGGTTGGCCTGATGTGCTGCCCGGACGTCCCATGGCCCGACGCACTTCCCTCGGTGCTCCTGGGCCTCCGAACCTCATTCAAGGAGGACCTCCAAGCATCTCCGGCCGAGATGCTCTATGGCACGACCCTCAGGGTGCCCGGTGATTTTTTCACCGCCCAGATCCGCCTGAACGTCAACCCGCCGTCCTTCGTCCAAGGCCTTCGACGCCTCACGCAGGCCATCAAGCCTGTCCAGGCATCGAGGCACCTACCTCCACAGAAGCCGTTTATCTTCAACGATCTACAGAGATGCTCTCACGTTTTTCGCCGCACTGACGCTATCCGGAGACCGCTGTACCCTCCATACTCAGGGCCACACAAGGTAATCTGGCGCATCGACGAGCGAAACTACACTATCGAGGTCAACGGCCATCCCCGTACTATCTCTACAGACAAATTAAAGCCGGCCTACCTCGAAGCAGCCGACCTGCCTATCACCAGCAATGACGTCGCTGCTCCTCAGCTTTTGCAACCACCCACGTCGGTTACAAACGACCCCCAGACACAGGACCATTCAACGCGGCCTTTGGCCGACGCATCGCCTTTCCAGCCCACACCTGGACCAACCACGACCTTGCCCAAGGTCAAGAAGGCTATATCGTTCTGTCTGCACCCTGCAGACAACACTGCAGGGGGAGTACCTGTGGCGCCATCCACCAGCCAAAGCTCAAATCAAGCTTTTCGGCGGAAGCAACAGCTTATCCCGCGCACGGACTAGCTGCGCGCGCCACCTCCTCTCTCTCGACTCAAGACAGCGCCTACCGTAAGGTAGCGAACGCTGCCAGAGACGACGCTCGACCAGCATCGACGACGGCACGCGCCTCGTCCACGAGTAGCGAACAGTTTAACAAAGTGCAGTCTCTTGTTTTGTAATGAATAAAGTTAAATTACTCTTAACCCGTTCGCTCATTCATTCCATGACCTGCTTCGCACCTCCGATATCCTTGAGCATTGGGAGAAGCTCCAACGCGACATCATAATCCCAAAAATCTCCCATTTTCATTTGAAGCGGGGTTGGTTTGTATCGTATGCATGGAATGCACTGCCGAATGGTTTTTCGAACTTGGTTTTTTCCGTCTATCAGCCAATATCGTTGCCGAATGGCAGAAAGCGTGCTTTGAACTCCGGCGTGGTACGCGTTTATATGCATTTCACGAATTATCAGGTTGGTCACGTGATGGCGAGAAGGTAAAAGTATTGGAAATTTGCGGTCGGAATCTATTGGCGCTTTACTTAATCGACCCCCGACGCGAAGTAATCCGTCTCCGTCAACAAAGGGATTGAGTTCCGATAGTCGAGTTTTCTTGGCTCCCTTAGCGCTTGTTATAGGTTGATTTCCGATTGATATTGTTCGGATTAAATGAGCCGAAGAACTATTTTTTCCGTCGCGATTCTTTCTCTCGGACTAATATTTTTACCGGTATGAGTGTTTGATTTTAGTAGCCGTAAACAATATGAAATAGAATTAATTAAAGTCGAATATGACGAAAATCGCGAAAAAACGTTTACAGTTGAGTGATTTCATACAAGACACGTCAATTCTCTTAAGCCGGGTAATTGCGAGACAGCGGGGACCATGTTTGTTGGCCATGAAATTTCCGATGAACGAAGCCAAAGGGGCCCTTCAAACCACAGATCGTTTCGCAGAAATTCGCCTGGAAGCTGACCACGCGACAAAGCATCGGCTGGATTGTCAGCTGTTCTAACGTGGCGCCATTCTATCCTATCTCCGAGCGCTTGTATTTCGGTGACGCGATTGCCTTCAAATGGTTTGAGAAGTTGGGATGGTTTTTTAAGCCAATGAAGCACGATAGTGGAATCGGACCAAAATACAATTCTGTCGACCGATGGATTTATCGAGGGACTCATCTCCTTATACAAACGGGCAAGGACTCGCGCCCCGCACATCTCAAGCCGAGGAATCGTGGCTTCCTTGATAGGAGCAACTCGAGATTTGGCACATGCTAGACGAATGAGTACGCGCCCGTGGCTATCGCTCGTGCGAATGTAGATGCAAGCACCGTACCCCGTTTTACTCGCGTCGCAAAACTCATGAATTTCCATGCGTGTTGGATTGTCAATAATAAGTCGACGTGGTATGCATAAACTAGAAATTGAAGAAAGCTGTTCCGCGAAAACTCCCTATCGTGAATTTGCGGTAAAGACTCATCCCAATTTAACTTTAATTTCCAACATTCCTGAATCATCGTTTTGGCATACAAAATTATGGGCCCAAGAAGCCGCAACGGATCAAATATAGCAGCAATTTTCGATAAAATTGAGCGCTTTGTGTGTTTTTCGACCGAATCACCGAGATGGACTGAATATAAAATTTTATCATCATGCGAGTTCCAAGCGATTCCTAACGTTTTTAGAACCGTATTTGTCTCGATCACGCAATCTAAATTGATTATTTGCTCCTCAAGATTTTTCAACGCGTTGTGATGATTTGAAGCCCAACGACGGATATCAAACCCTCCCCTTCGTAAAAGAGAAATTACCTCGTCGCGAATTTCGAGTACTTGTTCAATCGTATCAGCACTAGTCAAAAGGTCATCAACGTACAAATCGTTTTTGAGTACTTGGGCAGCCCGCGGAAAATGTGCGCCATCGTCATCAGCGAGTTGCTGAACTGTGCGTATAGCAAGATGAGGAGCAGACGAGACGCCGAAGGTAACTGTATTGAGCTCGAAAGCTCTCACTCCGTCTTGGTGATACCACAAAATACGTTGAAACCGTCGATGATCGGGGTGAATGAGTATTTGCCGATACATCTGTGCGATGTCGGCTGTGATTACATATCAATAGGTGCGGAAACGCAAAAGATGATCAAACAGTTTAGACTGGATTGTGGGACCGACCATTAAAACTTTATTTAGCGAGAAGCCCTTACTGGCCTTAGCGGATGCATCGAAGACGACGCGCACCTTCGTGGTGCTGCTTGACTCTTTAATTATTGGGTGATGAGGCATGTAATAGCCGCTTGGAGACTCGTCACGCACCAAGGACATGTGACCTAACTTAATATATTCGTTCATTACCCTTTCGTAAGCTACTTTAAGTTCGGGATTAGAATTAAGACGAGTTTGTAACGCGTTGAGGCGTTGGAGAGCTTGAGGCCTTGAATCGCCGAAATCCTCATTTTGTCGTTTGAATGGTAATTTGACAATGTAACGGCTGTCCTTATCGCGCGTAGTGTGTTCGACGTAATGAGCCTCGCACCGTGTCTCTTCGATTGATTTCGATGATTTTGATCCAATGTCCTCGATAACCCAAAATTTTTCCATTTGACGCGTGAGTTCGATTAAATTACAAGAAACCGCTGAGTCCCCGCTTATTTCTCCAATACCACCTCCAACTATCCATCCGAGCTGTGTCTTTTGCAAAATCAAATCGCCGTTACCACGAGATAAATTTAATTGACCCACACTAAAAAGCGATAAAGTCATCCCAGCTCCGAATAGAACATCTACGGATCGCTACAGATGGAATAGCGGATCGGCTAAGCGTACGTTGGCGGGAATTTTAATTAAGTCGCGAGTAAAAACGGAACCAGTTCGGCGATTTTTGGTATGACTAAAAAGTTCGAAATTTTACTGAAAGTCTTATCTATTGCGCAAAAATAAATTTCGACTCGACCCTTTGACACGGTGCGCAGCTCATTGATGGCGCCTACAGGTACGTTGCATGGACGCGTTGGCAAATTTAAATGACGCGCGAAATTAGATGTTATGAAGTTCGCGGTTGCGCAAGTGTCAAGAAGCGCGCGTGCTTGAATAAATTTCCCATCGGAGTTTCTCATTAGGATCATTGCGCTCATCATCAGCTGAGCTCGGGGCGCGTGGGAAACTAAACTATAGCACTCTATATTCTGTAGTCATGCGGACTTTGTGTTGGACGTTTCGGTCTTAGGAGTCTGCTTGGGATTCGTGTTGCGGGTCGGGTTTGAGTGCAAAAGCGTGTTGTGATACCGCTTGCACTCCTTGCAATGGGAAAGCGTACAATTGCCAGTGTGCGCGCGAAGACAGTTTCGGCACAACCCTCTGTCCTTGACTGCGTTCCACCGCTGTGAAACGGTCAATTTCAGAAAGTCGTCGCACTTGAAAATCGGATGGTTTGCCTTGCAATAAGAGCAAGCAGCTGTTGTTGCCGTGACAAAAGAGCGCGCGCCGGTTTCAGTTTTGCGAGCCTTCGAGGCTGCCGAGGTTCTGTCTGCCGGACGCTTATTACACCCACCTCCTTGACGCGACGCTTTATTTGACAGGGTACTCAATCTAAACGCGGCGTCACTCACGAACTTACAAAATTTTTCAAATGACGGGTACGTACTATAATCGAGTGATTCCTCCCATTTAGACCGTACATCAACCGGCAGCTTTCTCTCGAGTAATCGGACCACAAGGCCATTTTCTAAGGTCACCTTCAGCGATTTTAACATGTTAAGATGTTGACGGGCGTCGTCCACGATTTTCATCAAGCCCTCGGAGGTCACGTGCGTGAGCGCTGGAATATCGATGATCCCGTCGAAATGTTTTCCCATGAGTATACGCGGCTTTTCGTATTCACTAACGAGCATTTCCCACGCCGTTTTGTAACTCTCATGGCTAGCGTCGTACAGCGAGAGTTTGTTAAACGCAGGGCCCTCTAGGCAGTCTCTCAAGTACAAGAATTTGTTTAAATCGTCGATATCGGTACGCGAATCTATCATTGCCAAAAAGGTGTTTTTAAACGAAAGCCATCTATCGTGATCACCGTTAAATCGCGGGAGAATTGCGACCGGTAGCTTGAGAGAGCGTTGTTTTTCGACGATGGTTGAATGCCCGAGTGGATTGCCGAGGCTTGTGTTGTGACTACCCCCGGGCGCAGGCTTACTTCTAATAAGGACCGCGAGTTCCATGTAACTATCCTCTAAGCCCGCCATATGCCCCAACTCGGCATGTTCAGCATCAATTGTCGCAAGCTCGTCCTTGAGGGACTCGTATTCATTAAACGCGTTCGTAAGGCGCTCGAGACGAAGCAACGCGTTCGCTTTATCCAGCTTATCCGCCTCTACCGCGGTTTTCAAGACAGTTATTTTCCCTTTCAAAATCGTGCGTTTGCGTGTTAATAACGATGCTTGTTCAGCCATAGTGAGTAAAGACAGAGGAAGAGAGAAAAAAAATATATAAAATAACACGAGGCCTAGGCAAAAAAAAAGGACAAATTAATCAGCACGTGTAAGCAAGTCTCTGCTCAAAACGAGGCTTTGGCGGGAAAATGAAAAAATGTTACGCACGTGTGTAATTGATGCAAGCGCACGAGGCCTGCGCGGGAAAAAAAGAGAACAACAGCACGTGTATATATGGGCAAGTTTTATGCTAGAGATAATCGCTGATCAAGGAGACACCACATATAATTACCACGCACTTTTCACTTCTTATAACTAACAAGACGTAACGAGAAAATACCTATACACGAATGGCACCCCTACGAGTGTACTACGCGTGGCGGATTGTGTGATATATACTTTCTTTTAATTTCAAGTCTACTGTCAGTAAAAATAAAATCGAAAGTACTTATCTTTGAGATGCGGCGAATCTTGACTGCAGCAGGCTAGCAGCGGTGCGGCAGCATCTGGTTGAGCAGGCAGTCCACGCTGATGGCCGTTCTTCTTTACGTCCACGAGAGAGTGTGTACGATGGCTAACACCTCACTTATTGTTTTTGTTAAGAACGCGTGGCTCACATCCGGCTCAAAGGACCAAAAAATGTACGCTCGAAACCTTGTCGGTTTGACTAGGCTTCGTAGTTATGTTTTATAGGGAGAGGATAAAGAAATAAAAAATACTGCACTTAGGGAAAAAAGCCGGGAGGCATAAAAAAACCCAATTTATTAATGAAATAAAAACAAATACAATCTGGATTAAATGCAACTGAATTAAACTGAATATTACGAACATTAAATGATACACTGAATAAACTAAGAATAAAAAAACAATACAAAGANAGTTATGTTTTATAGGGAGAGGATAAAGAAATAAAAAATACTGCACTTAGGGAAAAAAGCCGGGAGGCATAAAAAAACCCAATTTATTAATAAAATAAAAACAAAAACAATCTGGATTAAATGCAACTGAATTAAACTGAATATTACGAACGTTAAATGATACACTGAATAAACTAAGAATAAAAATACAATACAAAGATGTGAGCCAACGTGTGTGTATGTGTGTGTGTGTGTGAATGCAACTCAGAGCTGCTCGTTGACGGCGCGTCGCTAACCTGGTGGTCGGCGCCTGGTCGTTCGCGCTGATGCGAGAGCGACGGTGTTGTGGGTGGCTGGGCCACTGATCGCGTGCGGTACGGATCACTTCGGTGTGTCCACGAGGACGCGTTAAGATCGTGAACTGAAAAACGGACGGTATCGACAGCCTTTCTCCACTGAGATTGGGTGACGTGACAATGAGTCCAAAGTAAGAGATCGAACACGAGGCAAAACTTGACTTGCAGGCTGAGAGCCAAATTTCGAAAGCTTAAAGGGATGTGTAACTTACACATTCTTGAAAGAAGTAGAAACAAGGGTCAACTCCAAATGGCCTGAGCCGAGCCACGCTTGTACACAAGTACAAAAAAGGTCAACGGTAACTTTGGCACGAATCTAACTCGGTTCAGCTTGAAGTACAACTGTACCTGCACCTGTGGTGACTCGGACACCTCGGAGCATGGACTCCAGTAGCAAATATTGAAAGCTTGAAAGCTGGGTGCGAACAGCTCATAGGGTACAGCCGTCAGGGAGTTGTGCCCCTGCCCATATCGCAGCTAATTGCGTCGTTCCAGGTGGGAACGAGCGGACGCGCCTCCGCGCTGGTGCCCCGTGGACACGATTGTCGTGTAAGCTGTCTCCGAACGGTTGGATCTGGAATGACCAATTAAAAGTCGTGGCAGCTGATGATCGTGACCAAAGCGTCCGCCTCGGTACCCAAGCTCACCGCTCATGCAGGCTAATAAAATGTATCTTCGGCCGGCATGAGAGGTGTGTTCGATACGACCCAACGAGCGCTTCGATTTTTCCAAGTCGGACCCTTGGCGGGTCTCGCTAATAGCAGGTGGTTGTGCTTTCTAGATTCCTCTAGTACTAGCAAGAGGTTGTGAGCCCCTTATGGTGTGCAAACGGCCGGGAACGGGGAGCAGCGTCAGCCGTCGGACGGAGAACAAAGCTGTGCACTTCTACGTGCGTCGATTACCCTAATAATGTCCACGAGGACGCTGGTGCGTCGCGGTCGCGAACACGTGAATATACCGCGGCGTATCGATCAGAAGGCGAGATTGAGAAAGAGCACACAAGAAAGCACGGCGTTAGTTAAACGTAATCTACGTGAGCAAAACACGAGGTCACAAAAAAACTATAGGCACGAATTACTACGGTGAGTCCCAAGAGAGCCGACGTAAGTATCTCAAGAGAGCCAGACGTAGAGTGACCTCATTACTTAAAACAAAAGGTTATTAGTTCTGATACGTCGGCGCTGGTCAATACTCTCCCCCCTCCCTCTCTCCACTCAGGCAGGGGGAGACTCAATCCTGTCTCGACTAATTGGTGTGAAAACTGTCTCTTTCTCTTTCCCTCTTCTTTTCTTGCTGTAAATGTACAAGTGCGGATGTGTGTGCACGATTGCATGGAAGCAAAGTCTTTCTTCCTTGAATTATGGACCGACGCGGCTATTATAGAGGTATATTCCATACTGAACCGACGGAACAAATACTGTTCTTCGACACCGATAACATAGCATTTATCTAGTTGCTTCTCGTGTTCTTGCCGAGTCCGCGAAAAGGGGTTATTGGGTTTAGCAATATTACTTCTGGTGCGTCGGGCATGTACTGATCAATTTGTTCTAAATTAAGGTAGTAACCATGAGATTTTACAAAGGTAAGTGGGCTGTAAAAGGGCCACATAATGGTGTCGAAAGTTACCGGAGTGATGCACCCGCAATCTAGTTCGAAGTACCGTATCGTTTGGCCTTAGAAATTAATCAATTTCTCTGCTTTCTTGGACTCCTTATGCCAAAAGTATACCTTCGTACTATCACCTCGTATCTCAAAAGCTCTTGAAATTCGACCAGCTGATGCAAAGTGTAAATTTAATACTGCTTTTTCAAACTCGTTTAATTTTGGGGAGCCACGTTTTGGCATGGTGTGTACTTGGGCTTTTGAAAATAGTTTTCAACGTTTTATTCAAGGGTAATACAATTTATTATTCAAAATTTATTATTGTTTATTTATTGGTTATCGGTATGAACATATCTAAAATCGTTTATTCGTTACATTTCACACTAGTCTGATCTATATGGGTCACCATGATATTAGCTTTTGTTCTCGCTGGAACAATGCCTTGATTTCTCCCCTCAAGGTTTTTAGGCGGTCGCGTATATCCGCCCTTGCTGCTTTAATTCACTGAACCAAGGCTGCTGTTCCTG